AAAGTCATCAATATTTGTTGTAGTATGAATTTATTTTTGCTGTCCAAATTTCAAGAAGCTTATTTGGTAACCTGTGATGGAAGGGTTCCCAGACACAAAACAGTGTCCTATTGACCTCTTCCTTTTTTTTGTGAAACAGCAAGTGCATATGTCGATTTCTATTGGGACAGAGAAATATGCTTTTCGATTTTCTACTTTGATAGCTTCCTGCAAGTGGCCATGCTTCCTTGCACAGTGCTCTTTAACATTTGACCCCATCCGTGTTACAATGTTTCGCTTTGGGATTAGAACCTGCAGTTTCTATCAGGTAGAACGTGGAATCATGTCACTGACAAGACTCAATCACGCATGATGTTCCTCTTCTGATCAGCCTTGTGAACACTGCCTTTGAAGTTACTTCTGTTGATGTGGAAATTGTTTGTAATGTCTTGTCCCTATTTTTCTGTCAGCTGAGTTGTCATACCTTAATTTAGCAGCCACTAGAATGAATATAATCAACTTTATTTTATGTGTTAGTAGACATGTGCCATCATGGTACATTGAAGAAGACTCCGTCGTCTGTGAAGCTTTGCACTCTTCTCGTCGGACATGAATTCTTTCCATTTCTCTTTGTTGTTGAAGTTGTGGGAATCATTTTCGATGTAAGTGGAAGTTAATAAAAATTACCAGAGAATATGCAGTGCTTACTTTCTATTGGGTCTCAAGAAAGTTCAATCATCACTACGTCTGTAATTAGGTTCACCATGTTGGGGCAAAGTGTGTTTTTGTATGTGCCAAAACCTTTTTGTTGCTAATAAAAGAGGCAAGTATTTTTTAAATGCTCAACATCATTAAATTGTACGAGGTCTTCATGTGAAGCGTTCTCTCCAGTGTGGTCCAGAACCTATGTCCGATTGTCCAGGACAGGTTGAAATTTAGTTAGGACATGTAAACCTTTGATATAACTTGTCCATGGGACAAGCATATTTTTAAGGAGGAAGAGTCAGTGTTTGTACAAAGACACAGGTCTAGGGCTGAAATAGTTTGATTGGTTTCTCTTCATTGTTTGGCTAAAACAAATGGTCACGTTTTGTCTGAAGCCAACTTGACTTAACCTCCTGCTGTTCACTGTCAGAATGACACTACAGTTGTAGGAGAAGTGGAACAAGAAAAGGAGGATGTCATCATACCCTTCCCCATTGTGACATCCTGTTGATGAGAGCAAAGACATTGGAATAAACAATCAAAGTAACCAGGCTGGCAATAAGCCTTACAAGTGTTCAAAATAAACAGAAAACTGTAATAACCTGGAAATCAAGTGAAAACTTACTTCTTGACTGCCTCAGTATTTGAGGCAAGTAACAGCTTAGCTTGGTTGAACTGC